TTAGATACCACATTTTCATCATTAACTTTGTAGAGTGGAGACTAGATTTGATTCCTTCACCAAATCTAGTTATTCAGTCAGCTATCTGATTAATTCTACATTATTCAGTGAAAGGTATGTGTGTTTCTCTTCTTTTCTTTATGGGTTATTGTCAAGGGTTTTACCAATTTAGTAAGAATGGGTGTAAATGGTTTATCTTAAATATATTTCAGCAATGCAATAATTAAACTTGGAACTTGGTAATTTATTTCCTTATATAAGTTAATATAGTCATAACTATCCTGTTTTTATAGGGATGTTTATTATATATATATAATGTACTTTTCAGCCTGTGTATATTACGTAGTTTAGTTAATAAGATATAGTTTACAAATATACATTTAACCCCACTTCGGGTAGGTTATTTAATAATTTATTATAAGCACATTTATAGTAATATAATCAATTAGCATGTATTATAAGGAATAGAGTATTTTATTGTTTATATTGTGTATATTCTTTTATGATTGTATATTAATTGTTTGTACTGTTTTACAGGTTTTTTTTTAGTTATATAATAAATTTGGAACGAGAACCCAAGCCTTATTTTTGGTTGAAGGGGAGAACCCCTTGTACCAAGGGACCGGCTACACAAACCAGACGTGGCTTTGAATTGTTTGGGATATTATTAGGCCTAATAATAATGGACCGACATGACAAAAAAAGACAAAACATGAAATGTTTCAACTGATTCTTTTTGCTATAGAAACGTCACATAGTAGAGGCTCTTTTAGGCGACAAGTTATCGAAATATCGTATAGCTGTTTTCTTTTCTGAGTTACCAAACCGTACACGTAAGGAGGTTGCGTCAAAGCCGCAGAGTTCATATAAGCCGTTACTACCGATAACGTTTCGTGTTTCAACACCTCGGGGAACGCTTTGTTAAACGATTTTAAACATTCCACAACGTTATCGACATTTTGTCTTTTGGCAATCACGTGAGACATTCTGTTTCCCTCTTTCAAAACACTGGAAGTGAATCGTGCTCTCTTTCTCTTCGAAGCTCTATAAATGTATCTAACATATCTAACGTTAGCTATATGTTGTTTTTGACTGATGGTGATTGCCATTTCTGTTTTGATATACCTCTGTACTCTATTGTTTGCTGAAATATAAAGATAAATTGAGATATGATAAAATATTGTACTCTGATAACTTAAAGGGACAGATGCGCCATTTTCTTTTACCAATCATACTTTAGTCTCAGAAAGGGATTTTTTTTAGCTAAGCTAA